CCCCTCTCCGGCGCCCTCAACCCCCCTCTCACCCTCGCACCCGCCCCTGCGCCGGCCCCTCCCCCTCACCCCAGCGACTTTGATGAGATGGAGCAGATCTTCAGCCAGCAGATCAACCCCAACCTCAACATGGCCGAGCTGGACGCTATGCTGGCTGAGTTCAGGAACGACTACAACCAGCGCCACTTCGTCCGCAACGAGACCTTCAAGGTGTGCGATTGCCCGCACCGATTGACGCAGCGCTGCAGCGTCACCCGTCGTGTGATAGAGAGCAGAGGCGGCACAGGAGAGCAGTGACAACAGTAGTGGTGGCAGCAGCAGTTGAAGCGGCAGCAGCAGCAGCTGTGGCAGCAGCAGTACCTGAGCCCGCTCGATCACGCCGCGCCCCGCCCCCTCACCCTCGCCAGGCCGCTGCCGAGAACATCACCGGCCCCACCCGCAAGATCTTCATCGAGTTCCTGGAGCGCTCCTGCACCGCCGAGTTCTCGGGCTTCCTGCTCTACAAGGAGCTGGGGCGCCGCCTCAAGGACTGCAACCCCTGCGTCGCGGAGATCTTCATGCTGCTGTCGCGCGACGAGGCGCGCCACGCGGGCTTCCTCAACAAGGCCCTGTCTGACTTCAACCTCGCGCTGGACCTGGGCTTCCTGACCAAGAACAGGTGTGTGTGTGTGTGTGTGTGTCTGTGTGTGTCTGTGTGTGTGTGTTTGCTGGCGGGTATCTGTGTACGCGTCTAAAAGTGGGGGATTGTGGTTGTGTGTGGGGTGTGGGTGGTGTGTGGGAAGTGGGGTTGTACGGTGCAAGAGCCTTGACACAGGGACTCAAGACGACGGCCGGCGGCGGCAGACAAAGGGTTGAGGGCGGCAGCTGAGGGCACCCTGCGGTCCCGCAGGCGCGGCGGCAGCGACAGCAGCAGCGGCGGCTGGCCGCGGCTGGCAGGGGTACACGGCAGCTGGGCGGCGAGGGGCCTGGGCCTGTGCCGTCGGTGTGGCTGGCCTGGAGGCTGTGACTGCACGTTGTCTGTGGCAGTGGCGCAGCAACCCCCTTGTCCTGCCCCTCACCTTCACCCCAGGAAGTACACGTTCTTCAAGCCCAAGTTCATCATCTACGCCACCTACCTGTCCGAGAAGATCGGCTACTGGCGCTACATCTGCATCTACCGCCACCTGCAGCGCAACCCCGACAGCCAGATCTACCCCCTCTTCGAGTACTTTGAGAACTGGTGCCAGGACGAGAACCGCCACGGTGCGCGAGGCTTGTGGCTGGGCTGGCTCAGGCACTCCAGAGGGCGTTGTTCACTCAAACAACAGCTTCCCTCGCACCTGCCCGGCCATCTGTCGACCATCTATTGACCATCCGTTCTATCCAAGCTGAACCCTGTCGTCCCGCCCTGCCGCCCCGCAGGTGACTTCCTGGCTGCCGTGCTCAAGGCCAAGCCCGACCTGCTGGAGGGCACTGTGGCCAAGCTGTGGAGCCGCTTCTTCTGCCTGAGCGTGTACATCACCATGTACCTCAACGACAACCAGCGCTCCGCCTTCTACGAGTCCATCGGCATGAACACCAAGCTGGTGGGCGATGGGGCGGGTCGGGGCCCGGGCCGGGGAGGGACGAGGCCGCGCGCGCACTATGCGAGTGGGATGAAGTTGGGGGAGCTGAGGGAGTGTAGGGTGTGACTGCCTCCTGCCCCCGTCCTGACAACATGAGACCACCCCCTTGACTCACTCAAGCGTACGCACTCTGCTCACACGACCTCATCTCGTCATCCCCGCAGTTCAACCAGCACGTGATCATCGAGACCAACAAGAGCACCGAGCGCCTCTTCCCCGCCGTGCCCGACGTGGAGAGCCCCGAGTTCTTCATGCGCATGGACCGCCTCGTGGAGTACAACTCCAAGGTGCGCTCGCACCAGCGAGCCTGTGCGGGAAACGGCTGGCGCTTTAGGGCGGCGGCTACTCCACGGCTGGTCTCTTGCCTGTTGTGGTGACGCCGCCTTGTCGCCTTCCCAGACAACCGCCCAAGCCTCTGCTGCTTGACCTGAACTCTCGCACGCACACGCTTACACACACACACACACATACACACCTACATACACACATGTGCACACACACACACACACCTACATACACTCACACACACGCAACCCCACACCACCGCAGCTCGTCGCCCTCGGCAAGAGCGACCTGCCCGCGCCGCTGCAGTCCCTCGCTCGCCTGCCCATCATCGAGCGCATGGTGGCCGAGATCTTCCAGATCTTCATCATGAAGCCCAAGGACTGCGGCAGCGTCGACATGCTGCCCGCGGCCGAGCAGGCGCAGGTCATGTACTGAGCGGCGGCACTGCAGGGGCGTCGACGCCATGGCGTCTGGGTCGAGCGAGGCGGGGGGCCCGGCGAAGTTCAGGGGCTCATGCGCTGCAGCCGCCGCCGTTTTGCTGCTTGACGGAGGCTGCGGGCGTAAGACGCGTGTTGCGTGGCCCGGCGCCCTCCTCTGAGCCCGTGGCGGCGGCTGCGGCCGGCCTTTCGTACTCGATGGGTCCGCGGGAGGGTTTTGGGTTGCGGGTGGCAGGTGGGGTGTGGGGAGAGCGTGTAGAGCGAGTGGTCAAGGGGCGCCCGCGTGCTCACCCAAAGGCAGGCACCTGGTGAAGCGCGATTTGTGCGCAGGCCCGCACGTGCCAGCTTTCGGGCGCGTGCGGCGCTCCCAAATCCGTCGTGCATTCTGGTGTTGCAGGCCTTCTCCTTGTTGCTGGCCGCAGCCCTGGTGTGCAGTCGATGTCTCTGGCCCGCCGGCGGTGCCAGCGCGCCCCCTGTGCAGCCGCGCACTTGAGCGCGGCGCCAGGGGGCGCGCACGCGCTTTGTGCGCGCACTCATCAGCGCGGCGCGCGGCCCCTTGGCGCCGGCCGCCGGCGCGGCCCGTTTGATACTGGTTGTTGGAGGCCGGGTTTCGGCGTTTGTCTATCTGACTCCTGGCCCTTCCAAGCATCGGACCCTCTCTCGATTGCTGCAACAAGCGTTTCAAGCTGAGGGTGCACCCCTTTTGTGCTGGGTGAGAGTGTAGGGATTCACATATGCACGGCAGCGGCACGTCTGGTGTGTAACGCGCCACGCTATTCCTCTTCGCTACTCCTTCTGTCCAGTGGTGGCCAATGTGCCTGATTACATGACTGGACGCACAAGGGGCCTGAAAGATCAGGCTCCAACCGAAAATGCAACACCATATCCAGCGTGTGGGCTCTTGACTAGCAGGGGCCAATACGCCTGACATGACGCGATGCAAAAGGCTCCCGAGAGACCAGCTGCCAGTGTGAACACACCACGCCATGACCATGAGCTGCAGCTCTATCCAGTGGGGAAAAGAGAAAACATCCATGACACGACGCAAAATGGGTCTGAAAAATCAGCTGCCAACTTGAACATGGAGGTCCTTTCGGCCAAACCAACCCGTGGCTGGCCGGAGGCCCCTTGTCTTCCCTGACAGAACCCCTGGATGGCTGTGATGAATTTATGGCCCTCTGAAACCCCACGGATACGCTGTAGCAGCTGCTCCTGCCAAGAAGGAGGAGCTCGTGCGGCCCTTGCGCAGCCAAGCGCAGCACGCACCTGCGGGCGCGCGCACACGTACACGCGCACGCACGCACGCACACACGCATGCGCGCACGCGCGCACACACACACACACACACACACACACACACACACACACACACACACACACACACACACACACACACATGCACGCACGCACGCACACATACTGTCTCAATCTCTCCCATTGTATCTTGTTTATTTTCTTATCAGCAGCACTTTTTGAGTTCAGCAGATGTCACCTGCGTCTTGTCCTGATGTATTTTGTGCAGCGCTCCGTCACGACCCTGCACCACAGCTGCTGCAGGGGGACGCGGATGCAGCGTCTGTCCTTGCTGCCGCTGGTGGGCCCGGCCGCGTACATCTGCGCCCACAGACAGACATGAGCAGCGACGCCCGAGTGCCTGGGTGGAGGCTGTGTGTGGCCAGCACGCGCTGCAGGCCTGGATGGTGAAATGCTGCAGAGAAGAGAGGAAATGCGTGACGGCTTGCACACTTTGCATAGTATGGTTGGTGTGGTCACAACCGCCAGCACTCCACCTGTGTGATGCTGCACAACCTGCCCCAGAGCACCAACCCCACAAGCAGCAGCAATTGCAGCGACAAAGTAACGAGCAGGCCGCAGCAGTTGCAACAAGTTTCAGGCATCACTTGAGGCTTGGGATATGGAACAAATGGGGTTGCGGTGGCGTGGCTGATGGCACACCAGGCCGCAAGATCACGGGCGGATATGGAGGCTGGCGCAATTGCACATTGGCGCCGCTTCGTGTTGAGGTAATCACGCCTACAGATGGGACCCGGTTGAGTGGCGATGATGCTTTTGAGATGGTCGAGCATCAGGACGGCCCTGGTCAACTGCATGTGCGGCGCCGCAGCGATGAAGAGTGGGTGAGTAAGCTGTGAGTTGGTCTGTCGTAGCCCAAGAGCATTTTGGCAGTATCAATATATACTTCCGTGCATTTTGGCGGAAATGGCCAGCGTCAAAACTTCAAAACGGAAACAGGTTTGACCAGGTCCGCTAAGTTGAGTTTCTCCGCACACTTTGATCGTTCTTGTACCTTGGTATAAGGTTGTGATTGTGATGATCGGAGCACTCTAATCCCCGTATATACAGCACACGACTCCCTTCGCTTCTAACCTGCCCGAACAGCATGCAGCCTTCACACGGCCCCTGCGACTTTTGCATATCCTAGCAATATATACTGGCAGCTTCAAAGACTTCGTCCTGCGCAGAACGCCGCAAGGTGCAAGCTGCGCCAGCGGAGCGCCTGGTGCGCCAAGCGGCCTTGCCTGCGACGCCGCACTGCGGCGCCCATCTGCTGTCGCGTGCGCGACAGCAATGGGCAGGAAGGGCAAGAATGGCAAGGGCCCCAACATCGGATCCCAGGCAGTGGTGAGCGCTTGCGTTGCCAGCACAGTCCTGTGTGCGTGCTTATATGTGCAGTCGGCGCGCTGGCGCCTGCACACCTTGCAGCCGTTGCTTCAAGCAACGGAAGTTCGACGCCTCGCTCATGCAGACGCCCCATCTTCCCGTGCAATGAACGCCCACAGAACACTATCGCATGCACATGCACAAGCTGAAGAACACACACACACACATACACACACGTCACCCTCATGCCCCTCTCCACGCACCTGCGCCAGGCCAAGCCCCTGCCTGCCGGCCAAGCGGCGCTGGCTGAGATCGCCCGGGCCAAGGCAACCGCGGCGAAGGCGGCCCCTCCAGCGAGCGCCGACAACAAGGCATCATCAGATGCGAAGCGGGTGCGCGCCCCGAGGCTCTAAGCACCTCAGTCGATGCGCATGATTGTTGTTCATGCCTGTGAAAGCGCCGCGCGGGCCTGCTCGCTGCACATCGCCTTTGTGAGACACGCGGCTCGCAACCGCGTGCGCCCCTCGGTGCCAAGCGGGCCCCCAACGTGCCCTGCCGCCACCCCGCTCGATCCGACCACGGCACGCCCCTCACCCGCCCCCCTCCCCAAACCCTGAAACGCCCAGCAGGTGGTGCACGCGGCCGTTGCGCCCCGGGGCGGGCTGGTGAACCCCGGCAAGGCTTACCTATGCTGGGTGAATTCGGCGCTGCACGCTGTGCTGTCGTGCAAGCAGCTGACGGCGCTGCTCTCGGCCCCCACCAAGCCCGACGCCCAGCAGCCCCTGCTGGCGGTGCTGCACGAGCTGCGGCGGGTGCACCACCGCATACTCGTCAGGTGCGGGCGCGGCGGCCGCGTCGATTAGGGGCTGAGGGCGCACCCATGCGGCACTGGCACAGCCAGGGGCGCATGTGCGAATTCGTGGCTTGAAGCCAGCCGGCAGGATGGCTTTGCAGGGCGCAGTGGCCGTTCGGCGCTGGTTTCCGAGCGCCTGTGCACCGAGTTCTGCCCGCGGCCCCTGCCTGCCTGCACTGGTTGGATGCATTGCACGGACCCTCAAACCAACCAGCCCGCTGCCTCCGTCCCCAAGCTAGCTTTCAACTTCCAACCAACCCCACACACGCACACAAGCACGCACAGACGCACGCACACACGCACGCACGCACGCATGCGCGCACGCACGCACGCACGCACAAAACGCGCGCACACACACACACACACACACACACACACGCACAAACACAAACACAAACAAAACAAAACAACAACAAACAAACAAACAAACAAACAAACAAACAAACAAACAAACAAACAAACAAACAAACAAACAAACAAACAAACAAACAAACAAACAAACAAACAAACAAACAAACAAGCATCCCCCTGCCCGCCTCGCCCCGCCCCGTCCCGTCCCTGCGCAGCCGGGAGCAAGGGGACGCGGCGCCGCTGCTGCGCGCCATCTACGAGCTCCGCGAGACGATCAGTATTAACACCGACGACTTTGAGCCGGGAAATATGGGGAGTCCGACGAGGTTTGTTTCGGCGCTTGTCTACGTGCTCCGCGAGACCGTCGGCGACGCCGCTGTCGCCGCGCTGCTGCGCGTCCGCGCGCGCGGCGACGCGCGCTGCGATGCCGCGGGCTGCTCTGTCATGGAGCCGGTGCGGGGCTGCGAGGGGGCGGCGTTTGAGGGCGTGGACGTCGACATTTCCACAGAGTCGAGCCTGATGGAGTCGCTGGTGGTGGGCGTCCCTGTTAATTTCAACTGCCAGCGCAAGCGCGCGGGCGGCTGCCCGTGCCAGGGCTGCAAGGACAACGTGTTTGGGCAGGCGAAGGCGGCGGCTGCGGCGGGCGTCTGCGGGCACCGCTCGGTGGGTTGCTGGGCCGGGCTGCGATCTGTGAATGGGGTTTCGCAGATCAGGGCGGCGGGCCTTGCATGATGGCGATCCGCGCTCATGCGGACGGGTGCCCGCATGCGGCCCCGAGCGCGTCGTGCGCGTCGCGGCCAACAGCGGTTTCTGCCGTTGTCGCCCCACTTGGGCCAAGCTCGGCATCTATCACCATTCTAAAGCCTCGAACCTCACCCTATCTCTTGCCACCCCTTCCCTTCCCTTTGCCCCCAAACCGTGCGCAGCGCGGACGCCTGGCCCTCACCTATGCTGGCCCCATCCTGGTTGTCAAATATACTGGGCACCCGTGGGACAACGGGGTGATGCCGGAGGAGCACATGCGTATCGTAAGTGAGGACTTCATCCCTCACACAATCGACGTTGCCCCTGCGATGCCGCACGCGCCCGCTGGCCACAGCCACCGGTACTTCCTGCGTGCCGTGACGTTTGCGTGCGGCCCGCATTTCAAGCCGCTGGTCGCGGAGGGGCGTCTGGGCGGCGGCGCAGGCGACCCGTTGGCGCAGTGGACGCTGTGCGACGATGCCTACGTCGGGGTGTGGGGCGATGGGTCTTACCGCGGCATGCTGACTGTCGCCCGCGAGGCGCGGGATGGCCAGGATGGCAAGACGCTGATGAGACCGGTGATGCTAGTCTTCGAGGCGGCCAGCGGGAAGGGCGCCCCCGCGCCCGCCGCGGCGCCGCCCGTGGTGGCGGCGGCGGTGATGGCGGCGCCGCCGGCGCCAGTGCCCGGCCCGGCCCGGCCGGCGCGGTGCCTGGCCACGCCGCCGGTGTTGGTCGAGGTCATGGCGGCGGCGGCGCGGCCCAGATCGGCGGTGGTGTCGGCGGCGGTTGAGGAGGCTGAGATGGCGGCGGCCCTGCGGCTGTCGCTGGCGGAGGCGGCGGCGGCCAAGGTGGCTGGTGACGCCCGCGAGGCGGCAGCTTCCGAGGTGGGCGGGTCTGATTTGTACCGCGGTCATCCGGCGGGGCTGTTACATCTGCTTGCTTGCAGCCGGAGATAGTTGCCGCTTGCGTGCACACTGTACACGGGTTGACCTGGATTCACCTGAATTGCTCGCACTTGCCGGCAGTCTGGCAATTCCGCTCCACAAGCCCACCATAACCTGGACCTCCCCTACCAACAACACTCCCCACCGCAGGCCGCTATCGAGCTGGCAGCCAGCGCGCAGCGGGTGGCCGCAGTGGAGGACGCCGCGCGCCGCGCCCGCGAGGCCGCGGCCGCGTCCCAGCGCCAGGCGACGGCGCTCGCCTCCAAACTGGCGAAGGAGCGTGAGCAGGCGACCGCCCGCGAGGGCGCGCTGGCCGCGAAGTGCGCCGCCGCGAGGGCAGAGTTGGCTGAGGAGAAGCGGCAGCGCCAGACCCTGGCCGGCAAGGCAGCTGGCGAGGCGAGGGCGCTGTCGGCGGCACATGCCAACCTGCAGCGATCAGAGGCGGCGAAGCGCGCGGCGCTGCAGCAGGCGCAGGCGTCCGCATCGGAGGCCGGCGAGCTGCGCGGCCGCGTCGCCGACGCCGAGGCGCGCGGCGCAGCCCTCGCGGCCGCCGGCGAGCGCACGGCGAAGACCGCCGCGCAGCAGCTGGCGGCCGCGCGCGGCGAGCGCCAGGAGGCGGAGCGCCGCGCGGCGGCGGCGGAGAAGGGTGCCGCCGGCGCCCACGCGCGGCTGGCTGAGGCGCGGCGCGAGGCCGAGGCAAAGAGCGCGGCGCTGGCCCACGCGTGGCGCGAGGCCGAGGCAAAGGGCGCGGCGCTTGAGGACGCGCGGCGCGAGACCGCGGTTGCGCGCGAGCAGCTGGCCGCGGGCCAGGAGGAGGCTGCCAAGCAGAAGCGACGCTTCGCCGAGGCATCACGGGCGCAGATCGCCGCGGCGGTCGACGTGCAACGCGAGCGCGACGGGCTGCTGGAGAAGCTGGCAGAAGCTGAGGCGAAGGCAGCGGCGCAGGGCGCCGCAGCCGATATCAGCTTGTCAGCCCTCCAAGCAAGCCTGACCGCTACCCAGGGGCAGCTGGCCGGCTGCAAGGCGGCCCGCGAGGCGGCGGAGCAGGCGGCAAGCGCCGTGCGGGCCGAGGCGGCCGCGGCCGAGGCGCGGGCGGCGGCGGGCGAGGCCATGCGGCATGAGCACGACCGGCTGCGTGAGGAGTTGGCACAGGCTAAGTCTGAGGCCGCCGCGCAGGGGGCCGCAGCCGAGGTCAGCATGCTGGCTCTTCAAGCAAGCCTGGCCGCCGTTCAGGCGCAGCTGGCAGGCTGCGAGGCAGCGCGCAAGGCTGCGGAGAGGGCGGCGGGTGCCGCGCGGGCCGAGGCGGCCGCGGCCGATGCGCGGGCGGCGGCCGCCGAGGAGCGGGCCGCCGCCAGCGCAGCGGACGCGCGGCGCCAGCGCGCCGCGGTCGACGCGGCCAACGCCAAGGCGGCGGCGGCCCAGCAGTCGACCATGGCGGCGCTTGTCACTGCAGCCGTGCTCGGAAGGCGCTTCCGCAGGGCCATGAACAACATCGTGCGCGCCACGCGCGCCGGGAACGCCGGCCACCGCGCGGCGCTCGCGGCGGCGCGCTCGGAGGCAGAGCAAGCAAGGGCGGAGGCGGCCGCAGCCAAGTCTGCAGTGGTCGCGGCCGCGCTGCCGTCCTCATGGCCGGAGGGGCGCCGCCTCGAGCGCGCCTGCAGCTCTGGCGGCCGCCGGCTGGCCCGCAGCAGCACGAGCAGCAGCGGCGGCGGCGGCGCGGTGGGCACGCCTGGTGGGGCTGACCGCCGCCGCTCGCGCTCCCTGCTCGACGGCAGCGGCAGTAGCAGCGGCAGGAGCAGCGGCCGGAGCAGCGACAGCGGTTCGGGCGGCGGCCTGGGGGCTGGCCCCCTGCCGGCATGCGGCGCCTCGGCCGGTGCCGACGCCCAGCCGCCGCAGCCGCCGCAGCCGCCGCAGCAGGGGGCGGCCGGGCCGAGCGGGCCGGACCAGTCCAAGGGCTGCAGGGGCGGCGGCGTCTGCGGGGCTTTCTTGAAAGCGGCCATCCACTGCTACGGCGGCAGGAAGGCGCGGGCGGCCACTGCCTGAGCAGCCGCGTGATCCATCCAAATCGCAGCCACAACTCACCAACTTGACACTGGGCGTAGGCGCGCCGCAGAGGCGCGCCCCCGGCCCTGCAGGGTTTTGGGCGCTGGGGTTGGGAAACGCAAACGACTCTGAACCCCCCGGCGGCAACCCGTTCCAAAGAAAAGGCACTCGTGCTTTTCTCATCGACTCTGGTCTCGCCTCCCGACCGACATCCCGCTTGGAGGGACGTGTTGCATCCATCACCATGGCGCGGGGCAGGCTGCCCCGGGCCAACACGTGCTGCACTCTCAACACAAGACATGGTCTCGCTGCATTGAGATGGGTGGCCTCTCTTCTAATCACCGGCAGGGTGGACAGTGACGCTGGGAATGGTATTACGCACCCCCGCCGGCGACTTGGGCTGTTGCGGTAAGGTTGCAGGCGACTCTTATCTGCGGTTCGTTCAGGGTAGCTCCTTCGTTTGCATGCGGGCGCGGCCGGGGACCAACTCATGCTGGTTTTGTAGCCAGGTCTTACACTCCAACTTTCCGGGGCGTAGACTGCACCCTGCTGTGGCTTTTGAGGCCTTTCGTTCATCAAAGCTTCGCATTCGTGTGCGGGGCGTGTGATTGCAACACTTCATATCACTTTTCTAGCTTGCGTGCGCCTTCATCCCGCCTGTTTGCTGCTGTGGGGTCAAGATCTGTAATAGCCCGTCCTTTCAAATCAGTGTCAGGGGGCATGAGAGATAAGTCACCGTCAAGGTTTTGCAGATGGCAATTACACATTGATGGGGTGTGAGGTGCCAGCAAGCAACAGCTTTTGGGACGCTTTAAGGACGCCCACACGCATGACGAACAGCCAGTTGCACGTGGCTGATGGGGGCATGGAGGCGACAGGTGGAGCGCATGCCTGCATCAAGGGCGCGACGTGGCAGCCCATCCCACTAGCATATACGTCTCAACACGAGCGCGCGCCCGCCCTGTCACCACCGCTGCGCGTCCCGCCGCAGCCGCACTGCCGCCATGGCCATGTTGGCCCTCGCGCGCCCTAGCAGCCCCGCCGCTGCGGCCGCGGGTGCGCCCGTCTCAAGCACCAGCACCGCCACCAGCACCGCGCCGCGGTCGCGCCTGAGGGGGCGGCGGCGTCAGGGTGTGTCAGCGCGCGTGTGCCGCCAGGAGTGTGGGAAAGAGCACTGCCATCAAGGGGCCTCCTGCGCGTCAACCCTGACACCTGCTGCTGCTTCTTACCGCCTTACAGGCCCGCCCCACTGTGCACGTCCCAAACTTTCCTCCAGCGCTACAGGAGCAGCACAAGGTGTGCGCAACCCTCCACCTGCAGTATGTAAGGTCGGAGCAAGGCATTTGAGCAAGGCAGCTCGTACGTCTGCCGCAGGCGGTACCACGCAAGGTGGTCACGCGGTGACGCCTCGATGGCCTCGTGGTACGCATCTGCGGCGGGTGACAGAACAGCGGGTGACACAATAGCAGGAGACACAGTGGCCGGTGACACAGCCACCGGTGACACAGCAGAGGATGGCACAGCAAATGTCATGCAAAATCACTCAGCGGCGGTAGGACGCGCGCAACCAAGAGCCCTGCTGACCCACCTTCAAACCCTCTCTCTGCCAGAGACGTTTGAAGTGCAGGAGATTGGCGGCTGCATCGCGCCGTCGAACAATGGCACCCCTCACTGCAATCCCTGTCACGCCCGTAAAAGGTCCCACCCAGTACTGCGCTTCAGCTGCTCAACAGCTCACAAACAAAGCCTCCGTCTGCATCATCTGCACCAGCCTTGACTAATGACTCGTACAGCAGGGCAACAGGGCCATGAGTCAGGATCAGCAAGCGCGGGGTCCGCGGGTAGCCGCCTCATTACTAAGCCCGTGCGTCAGGCGCTGGCAGCAGGCTGGGCGCGCCCGCGCCCGGCTCCGGCCCCGCCCCGGGCCGCGTGAACGCGAGCATGAGCGCGATGTGCAGCAAAAACACGTAGCCAATCAGGAGCAGCGTCTGCGGCTTCAGCACGCCCCGCGCGCTACCGCCGCCCGCGCCCTGCGCGCCGCCCGGCCGCGCAGCGCGCGGCGCGCGCGGCGGGCGCGCCGAGACCGGC